ACGAAGCGAAAGATAACAAATTTAACGGAGAGATATGTGAGCAAAATGGAGGAACAGCTATTTATATATACAGCGGACAATCACAGCGGACAAATCATTTAATAAAATAATTATTTAAACTTTTCCTAAAATGCGCTGAACTATTCCAAATATAACACATCATAACCGTCGTAATACGAGGTACATTTGTGGTAGTGGTAAGAAATGTATACGACTTCATGGACCGAAACATTTCTTTCTAGTCATATTGGTGATTGTTACTGGACCAGCAGCTTATGCTGCTGGAACTGAAAAAGTGAAAATCTGAGGAGGAAACACCTCCAAGATGTTCCAGTCCTAAAATAATCCTTGAAAATTTGATTCAACTGATTTAACAATTTTTCGCTATCACACTGAATCAAGCTTTCTGAGTTTGCACCTGTACCAGGCGGAGTGTGAAAAATGTAACTGCTAAAATGAGAGGTGAGCATGCCCCATGATTAGCAATTGAGCGATTTTGAGACAAAATTGAGCATATCGTGAGGCATTTCTACTTTTCTCAATAAAAAAATTTAATTCACAAAACAGATCCCTGAAGGTTTAAATTCAGAAAATTTAATTCTCGAGTCAAAACTGTTTCCTCTTTACATGTTTTTATTAACGTAGTCGTTTGGAAAACTTTTCTGTAACAAAATTTTGCAAATAATGCCGCATATTCCTTCCATAAGTTCTTACTTATCTCTGCATTTTTTTCTAAAAACTCAAAGCAGTATCGGGCAGTACTCGAGATAACAGGGAATCGGACGATACTTGAGATAACAGATATCTGTGATACTTAAAGTAATAATTGTACCCATATTTTTAGCATTGCAGTTGTAATTACACCCCTTAAAACAGGCTCTTTATGTCTCATCCCATGGCTATAAACGCAGACAGAGTGATATGTGCAGAAAGGAATGGGAATCTTCAGTAGAGCCGCTTGTCTGCGATTATGTTGTAAATATAAGATTGGCCAAGAGCAAAAATACTTTTTTCTGAAACTGCACTCAAAATGCACTCATTTATCATGAAAAACGGTATTATCTGGAGATTCAGAATATCGTGGAAAACTTAACAAAAAGATACACCTGCCATGAATCATCACTAATGTTGATAAAAATCTTGAGTTTGTAGTGATTTTCTTTGTACAGTTGTCAGACAATGCACAGATGTAACTTAGGTATACTGGCTTGGTTAGGTGCTTAATGTTTCAACACATCTTTGAAATTTTTTGAAGAAAGAATAGCATTTTTTGACAAAAACCCCTTTGGTTTTCAATTGTTGTGAAAATATGCAGATCTGTGAGAAAGGACCAGTTTTTCAAGCCTATTTTCTATTAGATTGAGATCCTTGAGTACTTAGTTATTTGGAGATATCCTTGAACAAACAACCGATTCTTTTCCACATCAAAGATAGGTTTTTGAATATCTGCAGTACTGTTTGCGATTGTACATGTTAGGCCTGGCTGCTAGGCTTAAATGTCTGTGAACTTGGGTATTTTGACCTGTTTAAAATAGTCGTTTCAGATCAAACTTCATCGTTTTGGAAACTGAAAATCTATTTGTGGGGTTACATGTTATAGGCCTAATGTCTGAATTTAGATGCTCAAGCATTCTAAAATGTTTTTTATAAAATTTGAAAGTTAGTTTATGAAAAAGCTGGCTTAAACATGCAAATAAACTTTGATGCTGGGTCCTTGTTCTTTGGCTTAATCATTAGAGATTTAAATAGATATGTTAAAACGCCGTTAGAGACTTAAAACGTCTTCAAAAAGCTAGTGTTTTCTAAAGTTCAAAAAAGCCGGCT